TGCGGCTACAAGTCACAGAGCGAATATGGCAAATGCGATGGAGTGTCACAGAGCGGGTATCGCCCCTCTGTCGCTTGTATGCCGGTGAAGCAGCGTATTTGTGCAAGAATCACGCATCTGGCAGTTGAATATCACCGGGAGCGGAGCATTTTCCGCCTCCATCACACTCACCCCCCTAGCGAGAACCCCTGGAAAATATCAGATGTGAGGCGTTCTGTAAACAGCAAACCTACTGCTACACCAAGAATTATGAAATACGTGGCGCCTGCATGTTTCAACGTGGCCTCTCTATGGTACAAATTGTCCCGTCCAGCACACGTGCTCACCGTCGGACGAGAGAAGATGTATTCGCATTCCAAGAACCTCGCCTTGACCTCGTCGAAAACCACGTCTGTGGCATTGATGGCGTCAAGCAATCGAATGGGGCACAGTGGCACTCAGCGCCGTCACCCATCCATCGCAACGCTAGAAATGACGAGGCGCCTACAACGTAGCCCAACGGGCGGTTGGCAAACTCAAAATGCAAAAGATCGGGGCCAGATTGGACTGGAATACCAAACACGAAGTCAGCCAGGAGCAAACAACAAATTTTGGCCCGGATCGCCATATCGAATGTCCTTGAAAGGCGGAGGGATGTAATGTGCACACGTCAACCGCAACGATGAACGTGCAAGACGACCGGCAAACGAAGCCAAGATAGCAGCATCCGGTGCGCCTGCATGCAACATGACATTCTGCACTGTTGATCATGGGTGGCAGCCTACCCGGTACTGCCGAAGAATACGTAATGCGGAACTGCGGGGTTTGCGGACGAAACAAGAGCACCAAATTCACGTGGTTCCTTGGGACAGACGACACAAAAGAAGGGCGGGGCATTGACAGTTTTCTTTACCTCGCTCAAGTCGAATGTCGACCATACGCAAGAGCTTGATGGCCGCTGCCCCTTGCCCCCTAATCTTGGGACTGCATTGCCGGCATCCAGCGCTTTCCAGCAGAAGTTGGTCTCCTGTGCGGGTCGCCTGGGAGATGAAAAAAGTATCCCGGACATCGATGATGGTGCGTTATGCTATAATTCAGCAACGGCACCCGTGCACCCACACACGCAATCGCAAGTTGGTCTACCTTGCAAGATGGTACGGTCGTAGATCTCGAAGTTGAGGGCTTCCAACGGAAACTGAGTACGGGCAACGTTCCTGAATGGCTCCTTCGGTACACTTATCCATCCATACAGCCAAGAGAACGTGCCGCACAAACCATAGCAGAACCCAAAACCACGCACTACACATATTCTGTGCGACAACTGAAAGGTCCGAATGTGAAAAACTAAGAGGCAGGCATCGCACGG